GCTGTTGGAAGGGTTAGATTATGGAACCTAGGGAGTTCCCTCATATCCTTAATATATGGCAGGGGTGGGCAATTATTTAAGGTGAAGGGCCGCTTACCGAGTTTTGGCAAACTGTTGTCAAATTTCCCTTTCCGGTGCAGGAAAGCAGGAACAGCCCCATGGTCCCAGGCCAGAAGCCTCTGTTAGGCAGGGGTTTCTGGTTGGGGGGCCAGGGCTAGGCAGACCTTGCTGCTGGGTCCTGCCACTAGCTTCCTCTGGGTCCTACTGCCCCTGGCTCATGTCATCTTTGACAGGCAGCTAGGAGCAAATAAATATTAATTTACTAATTTTTTTTAGGGGCCCCACGGGCTGGATAGAATGTCCTGGCGGGCTGGATCCGGCCCCTGGGCCATATTTTGCCCACCCCTGATATATGGACTAATTAAGTGGACTGTGACTGCATTGTAGCTCTGAAGACATGTAGTAACTTTCTTTTTCCAGTTAACTATTTTGACAGATCAAAAGTACCTGAATTAAATAGTTAATGAAAGAAGAATGGGGCAAACCATTTTAAGGCATTTCAGACATTTAAAAACATTTAGCAGGAAAAAATACCTTAAGTAGAATAATTCATTAATATGTTCTCCCCTCTCTGCAGTTATGCCACTTTGAAGGAATGGCCAGGATGGGATTTTTTTTTGTGAGAAGGGGTGGCTGTTTTTAACTGGTAGTTCAGTTATCAATAACCTGAGTACTGCATTACTGGTCACATCTCTGCTTGTGACTCTACTTCCTCATTCAGAGGATGTAAGGGTACTAGTGTAGTATTTAATCCAGTTTATGTTTTTGCAGTTATCTTTTCATATTTTTTGTTAATCCCTGCTTGCTTTTGATTTCATATCTTGCTTTTTCCAATTTACTGTATTTGAACTGAAAGATCATTTTAAAGTGGCAAAGATGCAGTGGTTTAAAAGGGCATTTATGAATAACACTTTTTACTCTATTTTCTATAACTTAGTTTTCTTGCCCATATGGGATGCTTCAGCATAACCATAAAATATTGGGTAATACACTTGTAATCATTTCAGAATGAACCAGATGCTGTGTGTGAATGAGCAAGAATTTGGAGCCAAATACTGCTTTTGGCTGTAAGGAATATATTGCTATGGGTCTATAGAATTTCCTGGGAAATTAAGTAAGATTACTGCATTTAGGAATGCCTGTATTCATTTTTTTTAAATTGCTTTTAGGAATTGCATAGGAATGGGGAAAGATGGAGTTAGAGCTTTGATGCCCTTGTGAACCTGCCTTTGTCTTCTATTTTTTTTCTTCCTTCAGTTTTCCTCTTCAGTAGCTTTCTTCTGGGCAAAATCAAATATTCATAACAGAAAGGCAGCACAAGTGTTGGTTTTTACTTTATTTTAGAGCCAGTAATTAGGTGGTGAAGTAAGTGCTTGGGATTGTTAGGATTTAATAATGTTCATGGAACATATGCCATAAATGCTGTTTACCACAGTAATGCTGAAAATGTTTGTTTTGTTTTTACTAAAATTTTTACTTTCTCCATTAAGTTTTGTTGTCTGATGAAGAGAAAACTGATATGGGCAGGGAGTTGCCAGTAAATTGTAGCTTGATTAGATCTCACTTAAATTCAATGAGCATTATTGAATAGCTTGCACATACAAACATTCTCCAACATTTGTTTGGGTAGAATCTTCTATATCCCTGCAACAGCCTGAACAAATTATTCCATTTTCCCCAGCTTTAAGATTCCTAACAGCCCCAAAGACTGTATCACAGACGTCCCCCGTCTGTGTGACCCAGAATCCTTTAGTCACAAGCCTACTGCTCTATAACAATGTGAATTTCTCTTGTCCACCATAGGGAGTGGTGCATGCTAGCTTTGGAATGCAGCCTGGGAAGTGAGACTAGAATGGGGACATTAGACTGGATGGCCATCTAAGATGGTCTGTGTTGCTCTAAAACCAGTTTAAGTTGTCTTTACTGTGCCTGTTTAACACAGTGGAGCTGATGCATAACTTTTATTGGGTGCCTTTGGTTCAAGGATACCTACCTAAAAAATAAAGGCAAACTTCTGTGTCAGCTTTTCATGTCATGAAATTTCACTGCAGTATAGCAGTACAGAGCTTGGCCTGCAGCTGTTACTTCAATCTGTAGGTCTTTCCAAGTTATTTACCATGTTTTTTTCATGCTGAAGGAATGAAGTGGCTGGATAGTTTCCATTAGGGCAGTATGCAGGTGAAGGCATACACAATCCATACTGCGTCCTTACTTCCTTCATGTCCTCATGTGACAAGATATTTAGCAGAATTCACAGATTTGTTAGAATCTGATAGGGCTGTGAGTGCTTCTGCTGTGGCTTCAAACTTGTGACCTCTGAGCTGTCAACTGTGCACCTTAGCACCCATACCACCCCAGCCCCCACTGCCTGCTAAAAATTGTGGGCATTCATGTGATGATTTTTCCCTCTCTGTAAAACTCCTATAATTTTGCACCTAGTTTTTGTTTTTTGATGTAAATCTTCATAGTAGAGGCTGTGGGGATGGTCCTTGAAGTCTTTTTTTATCACTGGATTTTGAGGAGTAAATGAGTGCTGGCAGGGCGCAGGTCCATTAAAGTGGGAGTTTCAAACTTACCTCCCCCCCGCTAGATTCATAGTGCAGTCTCATAGGCCGAATCCAGATCCACCTTTCATAGCAGGGTGCACAGCAACAGGGCAAGGCTAATGCAGGGGGATTTGCTCCCGCCTCCACTAACGCAGGTCCCCAGCGGGGTTCTTTACCCTAGATTTCAGTGGTGGGCCCCAGTGCTGCTCATCCTGGCCCCTCTAGAAGCTCTGTGGGCCAGTTGAAGCCAGCTCTGTGGGTCAGATCTGTTCCAAAGGGTAGATCTTTGACAGTTGACACCCCTGTATTAAATAATTTAATCTGGTTACATCCAGGGCTGAATTGAAACTGTTTGCAGCTAGGATGCCTCAATCTGCTATTTCTCTGAGAAGTACTTGGTTTTTCTTTCTTGTGACATGATGTGCGTTTGCTTTAGGTCCCTTTTATATTTGATATCTTTTTTTTCTTTGCTAGCTATATTCTTAAACTGGCTAAAACACGTAGGATAAGGAATGTGCAGTCACTAAATTATTGTGCAGTGACCTGGCTTCTGATTTTTAGAGTTGCTGAGCACATACCTGACTCGAGTTGGTGCTCAGGACCTCCAGAAATCATAGAATCATAGAAAATTAGGGTTAGAAAGGACTCAGGAGATCATCTAATCCAACCCCCTGCTCAAAGCAGACCATCCCCAACTATATCATTCCAGCCAGGGCTTTGTCAAGCTAGGCCTTAAAAACCTCCAAGAATGGAGATTCCACCACCTGTCTAGGTAACCTGTTCCAGTGCTTCACTACCCTCCTAGCGAGTAAGTTTTTCCCCTGGCTCACCCCAGACATGCTGAGGAGGCTGGGTAGGCCCAGCCACAGCCCCCAGGCAGGCACAGAGGGAGCTCAAATTTTCTGCTTGCCCAGAGCCCCAATAAATTTTAATTTGCCACTTATTTTTCAAGCTGCTAATTCGCATTTGAAATCTCTGCTTTTATCTTGTGGATCTCATGCAAGTGCTTGCACACTTAGCTACACAGGGTGCTACACGGCACGGTGCTGTGTAGCGGCCGCAGCCACTCCCAGAAGCAGCTGCAGCCATTGGCCATTGCAGGATTGGCTGTGGGGGTCTCCCCAGGCAGCTTGGCTGCAGGGGGACCCTCCCTGGTCAGTGGAACTGGTTGCAGCTGGGGCATGTGCCCCTACTAAGGCGGCACCAGTTGCCCATGGCACCCTGGAAGCATCTCAATGCCCCCAGCTGTGGCTGCAACCCGCTGAGAATGGCTGGTTGGCTGGCCTCCGAGGGGGTCACTGTATCTTGCCTGACTTCAGCCTCACACAGCACCTGTAGCCACAGGGTGAGCCCAGGCTTGGTGCCTGCAGAGGCTGCATCTTGGAGATGAATGACAAGGAATTCATTAAAAGGAATGAAAATAGAACCAGGGACTGAGTCATGAAATCATCCCCTGGAGCCTGCATGGAAAGTAGAGGCCCAAAAAGAGGTGGCTGGGTTTAACCCAGGGCTCATTGCCCTGGGTTTGGATGCCCATCAGAACAGCTGCCTGTGTGCACAGCTCCAGTTCCTTGGGACTGGCCTGGAGAAGGGGTTAGCCTTTGCCAGGTCTTGAACGTGAAATTATTGTATCGGAAGCTCAAAATTATATTTGCTGAGAAAGTATGGTACACCGAAAAATATGCAAATAGCCATGCAAATAAAGCTTCTTACTTTATATTGCTCACTGTAAGCTAGGGAGTGAGTGAGAACTGGGTCATCAAAGTTAAAGCATTTCTTTATTTTGAGGCAAGCAATCAGAAGGAAGTGTTGACACCGAACCCAAAAGTCAGTTAAGACTCCCTGAGAGTACTGCATCAACTACCTGCCTCGAGTCGAAAGTCATGGTACATTTGGATATTTTTACTGTTGTTGATCGCACATTGTATAAAGGTTGTCATGCTCGTATAATTACGGTAATGCTCGTATAATTACGGTAATTCCGTACGCCCGACCCGGCGCGCGGCTGCTTGCAAGGGCAGTTCCAGGCAGCGCGCATGCGCATGAGCCCGCCCTCCCCGCCCAGCAAGGCCGCAGGGCCACGTGATGCACTTCCGGAGGGGCTCAGGAGGAGCCTCGGACTCTATGGTGATGGAGCCGGGCGGGCCGTTCTAGCCAGCCCCCCCCCCCCCCCCCCCCCCGGGGG